GCCATCATTTTAGTGTAAATGGATTTTAAAAAGCAGCAAAGGGATATATTTTCATTTGGAGTTAAGGCATCCATTTTTTATTTGAGTTTGAGTCTGTTGTAGAAGAGACGGCAGAAAAAAATGGCTTCGAGGTTAATATAGCTAATGATTATGATGGAGGTCCCAGGAGCAGCCGATATTTCACTTGCAGCCACTTCTATCCTGGCTTCGCTGCCTGCAGTACTTTTTTTTTTTTTCCACAGCCACCTCCATTAACACCCACCGCCTATGATGGAACCATTATGATAATATCTCTGCTGTCGGAAGCCACGATTGGTCTTGACACATTATCACCCCAAGAGCTCAGCCACATCGCACTAAGTCCTATTTATAATAACCCTTGGCAGGAGCCACCAAAATAAAACCTGGGATGTACTCGTGGGCCACCTTTCATCTGAGGAAATCAGAAAGCTTTACACGCTTAATTAAGCGTCAGCATCTATCTGACTGATGAGCTGTGTGGAGCCTCGAGAAGCTGAGGAAGAGCAGCATTGCTAATTGCACACTGGAGAAGGCTCTGGGCGGATGAACAAAGAAATCAACAAAGCCAAGGCGAGGCGCCTCCTTCAGTGCGGAAGGCTTGCTGAGTGAATTTTTTCAGGATGGGCTGAAAGAGTCTTAAGTGAGTGATGAAGGGGCCATGGAGAGTCTCTGATGTGGCGTTTAATCTAGGCAGGGGACCCGAGATGTATTTCTTTTATGAAAGGAGATTAAGCTAATCCAACACATCCAAGCGTTGGTTTTTTGTTTTTTGTTTTTTAAGGAAAAGGAAATTGAGCTCCTGAAAGATCTGGCACACTGTTCCCACTGCTCACCTGAATGTCCTCCCCACCCAGTCCGTGACCTGCAAACCCCATTTGCACTTCAAGACTCAATATCTGTCCCCTTGGTGAAGCCTTCCTGGATGTCCTTAGCATGGACTGCTCCCTCCTCTGTGCCCTCGTCTGCTTTATAGTCCTAATTAATAATATTTATTGAGCACTTACTAAGTGGTTAATGACCATTTCATCCACACAGTAATATTATGGAGCAGGTACACTTATCATCTCCATTTTTCAGCTGAGTTAACCGGGCCAGAGAGGTGCAGGGGCTTTCGCAGGAAAGCACAGTAAGTGCGAGACTCAGCCTGGCTAAGACACATGTTCCAAAAAGACTCGCCACACTGCCTCCCCAGCAGCACCGTTGCGATGGAAGAGGTCTGGTTACATTTGTGTCCCTCTCTGGTTGGTGAGCTCTGATGTGAGAGGTATATCATTTAGCAATCTGGTGGCTGCAAACAACAGACTCCCCAACGCAGAGTGGGTTAAACCACAGCAGAAGTCCAGAGAAGGGCAGCTCCAGAGTTCATTAATTCGGGGGCTTGGTCACATCACAAGGACCCAGGCTCCTTCCATCTTTCTGCTCTGCCACCCTCAATGCGTGCACATAGCTCCCCTTGCACTCTCGAAATAACTGCCCCAATTCCAGGCCTCAAATCTGACCTGAACCATGGGGAAAAGATGCCATATCTTTATCTGTGGCTTTTGGTCATAGCACAGACATCTTTTCCAGAAACCTCCCTGTGGACTTTCCTTCAGGACTCACCGGCCAGAAAGGTGCCACATGCCTATGGTTAGGCCTACACCAAACACTGGTGTGGGAACTGAAAGCACCATCACTGGTTTAACCCAATCAGGATTCAGCCTCCCCTCCAACACCAGGCACCAGGGAGAGGTGTGGACACCTGCCAAGGAGAAGGGAAGGTGAGGAGACAGCCAACACTCACTGATGCTGGCTTAGGACAAGAGCAAATCTGATGCCCTGTTACATATTGCCCGGTTCTTTGGCCTTTAGCAATAAAGGGCAGTTGAACTAAATTATAGTACAGAAAGGAACTCATGTCCTCAAACGCCCAGTCCAGAATTTTCACCATCATCCTCTATGATGACATGTGACTGAGATATGTGTCCGCAACTGCTCTAAAATTTACTAAATTAATTCACCAATGCTCTAACCTTTAGATTCTGGCCTCCAACATATTCTAATCTCCAGGCTGCAGGAACCTTTTTCAAAAGCAGGTCAAAGAGAGAGCGACATGGAATAAAGCGAAGCATAAAAATGTTAGTCGCATCATAAATTAAGGGTTCGTGTCAACCTTGACATTCTTTCCAGAACACAGTGTATAAAGTGGCACTTATTCAGGCAGACAGGTTAATTACAAAGACTATTACATCTCCTGACCTCCTTCTAGCTATCCAGCAGGAGTTACCTGGAACCAGGTGTGCCGACACCTGCCTCTGCTAGCCAGGTATGTGAGGATAAGATCATTTTAAGCAACTCCTGGAAGAGCCAGATCTATCTTGTCCTAAATAGAGAAATACCAAGAAAAAAGAAAATTATCTCCAAGCAGAAAAATAATGTGCCCTAGCAAGGAGAAAGAATGAAGAAGAGGGAGACACAAATAATGAAATTGATCCAGAGAGGTTAGAAAGCTACCCAAGGTCATACAGCTAGTGATGGCTGAAGCAGGAATCATACCCAGTTTCAAGGAATACTGTAGTCCTCTCTTTGACATGGTCTTTCTCTCTCTTCCTTCTTGTAGAAGCATCTAGAAGGGTATGTTCAGAAGCCTCTATCTTTGGGGGGAGGGTCCTATAACTCAGAAGACCAGGAAAAGGCTGGGATTGCAGGCAGCAGAGTAGTGAGAGGAAGCCAGCACCTTGAGGCTGGTTTGGAGGCTCTCTAGTCTTTCAAGAAGAGCTGCACCGGGAACACTGATAGGGTCCAGCTGGCCCGGTTCCATGGGGAAGGCAAATAGCAACATTTTCAGGGAATATGCCCATTTGGGGCATAAAGAGGGTGCACTGAGCAGGAACACCACTTGATTAGGTCCCTCAAGACCCAAGTGATGCTTGCTGGAGGACAGCAACAGGAAAAGGAAGAGGCCTCCATCTGGACAAAGAAACAGGGACACAGGAAGAAAAGGGAATAACAAAATGATAATAGTAAACTCTTAATCTTTTAAGCACTTGATAGGGACAAATTTAATCATTACAATAAGCTATAGAGCTTGTTACTATTAATTACTATTAATTATCAGCTGTTATAAAATTGTTATAATTAGTATTGGTAATACCAATAATATTATTATTACTGCACGTTACAGATGAGTACACTGAGGCCCAGAGAGGGCAAGTAACTTACTCAAGATCACACAACTGGTTAGTTTGAAACCCAATCTGGCTTCAGAGTTCATGCTCTTAACCATTTCACTTAGTAGCAACCCCAGAGAACATTTCCAAGCAAAATTTAATCTGAGTTGAGTCCACTTTGATTTAATGCAATAATTTTTACATTTGACATTTTCCTTTCAGTTTACAATTTGCAGCATGTTTTGCCTCCATTCTTCTGAATCTGTGCCCTGCCATTTACTTGGCTTCAGGTCCATTACTAGCTAAGCTTCAGTCTTCCCACCTGTAAAGTGGGGACAATAGTACCTGTTAGGAGGGTTTAAGCCCTAGGCCAAGCCCATCATAAGCCCGATACGTGTTTGCAGCTAATGTTGTTGTGATGATTCGTATCTCACTAGAACTTCATAACAACAGCATGAGGTAAGGAAGCTTTTCTATCCTCATTTCTCAGGTGCGGAAACTAGCACTCATAGAAGGGAAATAACTAGCCAGAAAGGAAATAGCCAGAAAGTGGAAACACCAGACTTGGAAAATGGTCCAACTCCAAGCTGCTGCCCTGCTCCCAACCCTCAACTCCACCTCCTCTCTCTTCCCCAGGAGGCACTGTTATAGGAACCAGATCATTCTTCAAACAGGACTGTGGGAGTTTGAGGCCATTGGAAGTCGAGGCTCAGAGAGAAGCTCTGAGGAATTATATTAAGAAAGTTTTCAAGGTACCGATGTCATGACGGATGAGCAGCACCTTCCCTCATCCCCCAGCAACTGCCGAGGGGGAGATGGGACCAAGGTTACACACTGTGATGAGCTGGGCTGTCCCCAGGAGCCACAGTGGCTTGGCCATGGGTGTGTGGTGGGGTGTCCTCAGGCCGGGAAGTGAAGGAAAACAAAAGTGTTTTCCTCCAACTCTGTCTAAAATAGTGATTTTCAATCTTTATCATCTCAGGGCACACATAAACTAATTACTAAAATTCTGCAGCACACCAAAAAATATATTGTATGTTTTGCCGATCTGACAAAAATATAGGTATAATTTTGATTCATTCACACAGGACAGCTATTGTTGTGTTGGCTATGGACAATCTAAGGGAAAAGAGATCAGTGCCCCTGACCAAATAGTCTGGTATTGCATAGTTGTTTTTGTGTCTGTTTTTTTCTCCAATTCAATGCTTTTGTTTAGTGCAGGATTTATCAGAGCCTTTATTATAAAAATGCACACTCTGAATCTTCATTGGGGCAGGATAACACATGAGCATTTAAATTGTTTTTTTTAATTCTTGAGGTGCACCAGCTGAAAATCACTGATCTAAAATAATCAAATGCCACCTTAAAACTGCATTCCTCGGGTTTGTTTTTGGTTTTGATTTATTCCTTTGGTTTTCTGTAATTCTGCATGTTAATGAACTTGATCAAGTTCCTGTTAGTGTATCCTGTTCTGATACACCGTGCATTCAGGCCTGGCAAAGGATGTATGATCAAGTCAACCTGTCTTTCGAGCAGTGAGATCTTAGCCAACTTCGTTAAGACTCCATTTCTTCATCAGTACCAGTCATGTGAATGGAAGGTTCTGGTAGCTGGGATATCCAGGTCTGAGACCAGCCTTCCCAGACTGAAAAGCATATACTTCCTCCTACATTAAGCAGAGGCTTCGTTGATATTTTTTTCCCTCTTAGAATAAATGAAAGTTATTTTGTATCCTTTTGTAGTAAGATATTTTAAAAAAAGATTTAATGAATACTACTTGCAGACCTTCGTCTCATTAACATTCCAATTACTTATTTAGCAAATTGTTAATGAATACCATTAAGTGCCAGGCATTGTGTCAGGAAGCTATAAAACAACAGACAAGACAGACTCCTCATGGAGTTTACAGGGAACTATCCCTTTGATTATGTATGGCCTTTGTTAACAGCTAAAAAGACAGAGACACCAACTACTTTGAATTCCCCCACAGAACCTAGCGCTTGGTGTAAGCCATGGTAGCCACACAATATTCTCAGAATTTAACTTAATTAATTGTTCGTTTAAAATGTATGCACTTTTCTCTAATTAGATGATATTCTACTTCTGCCCACAAGGTGGAGATCTTGCTTACAGTTTACCCAAGCTGAAAGCAAAGCATTCAAAAAAAAAAATTCTCAGTGAAAGCTAATCAAAAAGTCAAAAAATTGCAATTGAACTCATTGAGCCTCTCTTCAGTGTAATATGTCAGGTGTTAAGAGAAATAGAAAGTTGATAAGACATAGTCCCTGCCCTGTAGGGAAAGTTAGGGGTAGGGAGCTTGCACAGAGCAGGAAGACAGTACTCCTCAATGAATTCATATGTTTTGATGTGTCCACATGGGAGCAGCAGTAATCTCATCACCAGATAAGATCTATGAAAAGGCAGCGATATAGCCACTATGTGGTGCAGAACAGACGCAACAAAGATCAATATGGAAACACCTGAGAATATAGTGGGTCAGTGCTAGAAGGACCTTGGTGTGGTCGGATGCCGCTGCTCAGCCACAAAATCAGGGTGTCTTCCCAGAGCATTATTCATTCTTTGGTGAATAAAATACACTCAGTGTCAGCTGATGACCTAATAGAGTGGAAATCCCCACGTGCAGTTGATGGGGATAAAAAGAGAGAAAAGAAACACGGTACGGAAACAAATTTAAAACTGCTTTCAGAAGGTGGACTCCATCCCCACCAGCAATCATGTGCCTTGCCTGGGAATTGGGGTTTGGATCTGGGACACACACTGGTACAGAGAGGGAAGAAATAACCCCTATTCTTATCTAAGAGTTTTCCTGGTGGATTGAACTCAAAGGTGTCTGGAAGACAATGTGATCTGTTGTCTTGTTTTCTTAGGTTTTGCTCCTCCATTCCCTCCTCCAACCATTTTTTTCACCCTTAAACCGTTATACCATTAAGTAAAATGCAATATGGGGATTTTCTTTGTTGAATTGAAAACCACATTTGGGGAATAAAGTGATTGGGTAAATGTGTGAGAGAGAGAGAGAGAGAGAGAGAGAGAGAGAGAGAGAATGAATTACCAACTTGACACAAATATGGAACTTGTTTGATGGAGGGAAAATCAAGCGCATGCTGCCAGGAGACCCGAGCTAAAATTTTAGTTTCTCCACTTGCTAACTGTGAGATCTTGAGCAACCGCCAGCTCTGCTTTGTGCGTATTTTCTCATAGAATAGTATCATTTCCTTAGAGAAATCGTCCTGGACACCCCCTCCGCCCTCACCCCCAACACTAGGTCTAATCCTGGGCCATCATGCTCTCATAGCCCCACCTAGACTGTAATATAAGCTCCATGAGCCCAGCGACCCGGATCTGTGGATTTTACTGAGGCCAGAACCGAGGGCAGACACCGTGGAATGGGTGAGGGAATGCATGGAGCTGACCTAGATGCTCCACTGGCACAAGAAAGGCAGAGCGACCAACCTCAAAGCACAGTGACCGGTGGAGGTGAGCGCGCTCGGGCAAGTGGGTGTCGGTTCCAAGCTGTTGGCTATAAATGGTTCCTCTACCCTCTGGAGTCACAGCCTCTGTGGCTCAGAGAAATTCCCAGAGATTTACATAAGGCTGAGTGAATCACACCGCCGGTAACGGAGAAGGCAAAGGGACCCGCCCTGATCCGGCTCAGGCTGCGCCTGGGCGCAGCGGGGGTTAGTCCGAAGTTTGGAGGAGGCCAGGCCCTGCCCAAGCCAAGAGACCCCGCGACCACTCCAACCCCCGCCAGGGCCCGGGCGCGTCCCTCGCAACCGGCCGGACTCCAGCTCAGCGCCGCCCCCTCCGACGCCCCCGCGCGGGCTCCGCTCGCCCGGCCTCCTCCCCGCCCCTCGGTCCCCAACCCAGTGTGGGGCTGCCTCTCCGAAGCAGCCATTGCCGCTTTAAGGCGAAGAGGAGGAGAAGGAGAAGGGGGCGGAGGAGTGGGGGGCGGGAGCGGCGGAGGGGGAGGGGGATCCCCCTCGCGCCCACGTGGTCCGGACGCCTGTGAATCGCGCTCCGCCGGAGGGTCTCACAGCGAAATACAAAAGCAGCTGGGAAGCGGCGGCGCCGCGAGTTCCCAGCGCCGGGGAGACTCCGCACCGCCTTCGCGACCGCGATGGGGCCGAAGCTCCGGAGCCCGGGAGCCGACCGGCAGTCGGGTCCGACCTCGCTGCCGGGACTCCGGGCGTCTGGGCTCGTCTTGAAGCGGCGGG